ACAAGACTGGGTAACTAATAGAGAAGCGGGTCCACAGTCACATTAGACTTCTAAAAGAGCACAAGACTGGGTAACTAATAGAGAAGCGGATCCACAGTCACATTAGACTTCTATAAGAGCACAAGACTGGGTAACTAACACAGAACAGGCTCCACAGTCACATTAGACTTCTAGAAGAGCCTAAGACTGGGTAACTAATAGAGAAGCGGATCCACAGTCACATTAGACTTATAGAAGATCACAAGACTTGGTAACTAACACAGAACAGGCTTCACAGTCATATTAGACTTGTAGAGAGGAATAGGAGACTGGAGCACGAATGGGCCTGTTCGGAGTGCTGTGATGACAGTACACATTATTCACTAATTCAAAGTGTTGAAGTGTATATCTTTATCTTCTGTTTCGCTGTCTTCTACTACTATTACTGCTACTACTACTACTACTATTCCTCTTCCTTTTCCTCCCGCGGTCGCTTTTGAAATGGTGCTTGGTACGTTGTGTTGCAGTCTATACCTAGGCCAAAGACACCCGATTTCAGCAAACCTTAATTAGTCGCCTTTTACGACAAGCTTGTTAATGGCCAGTATATCTATTTGACCCCCCCCCCCCCCCATCTTTTCAGTATAAATGGGGTCGAGCAACCCATACAGGTGGAAAAGAATATGCTGTTTTAAAATACAGGACACAAAAGACAATTAACAAATAATAAAACGCAAAATAAATCTCATAAATTGTGCAGGTTGCAGAAAAAAACAACCCACAAAACCTAAAACATTTTTGCTTAATCATGCTTCCTTTTAATCAGTTCTTGGCGTAAAACGCAATTACCCGTTTCTTGTAAGGATTTCTAGAAAATGGGAAATGTAATCAGATGACTGGCAGATAGAATTTAGACACAGCCGCAGCCGTTAATTTAATCACAGCACGATATCCTGGTGTCGTAAACGGGACATTTGGCTGGACAGTTTTACAAGGTTTACATGCCATGTCAATATACACGTTGCCAACAGCAGAGCGATACTGATCTTCCATCTTGGCCTGTTTATTGAGGGCATGGTTAAACATGCAGGGCAAACAATGTTGAATGTTGAACTGAGAGTTGACATCACAGCTCTCAGGACTCCCCCCTAAGCAGAACAACCCCTATCATATTTTAGATGTTTTTGATTACTCATAGCAATGTTTATACTCAGTATTTCCCTTTGCTAATTGAAAAGTCAGCTCTCAATTGATGAGACTAACATAAAGCTGTCTGCTGCCAAATATCCCGCTGCTGGAATTGAACGCGGTACCTCGAAATGACAAAGCGCATTCATGACGCCTTCAGAATTATTGGTATATTCGGAGAAAGTAAAGGACCCCTTCGAAGCCTTCAGGCGTATTTGGGCATATAGGGCGAGACCTAATTTTTTATGGACCAAACGGCACTTGGTGTGTGGTGTGGTCAACATCACACCGGTCGCCTTTACTTCCCAGGACTTTACCTGGTACCCACTTAAGGCTGGTCGACCTAGAAGCCCAAGTCATTTTTTTTAAAGTTAAACTCCCGTCAGGACTCGAACCCACGAGCTGAGGTCCGCAGGCGAGCGTCTAGCCGCTAGACCACGGCGACTCTCGGTATATTTGGGCGACCTTAGAATTTACTCTTTTCGCCTAAAAAACATATATTTGTCCTGCATGGAATATATCAAATATAGACAAATACATCAAAAAAGAAACAGTCTTAACTGTTACCTCTGCCATACAATAAGCAGTGGTGGTTGCCAAAAGAAGTATTTCCCATGACAAATCAAGATTTTATGAGAAACAATTAAATAATGCATTGATTGACAATCATATTAGGAAGCAGAAAAGAAAGACAATATATTATTGTAGATCGCAACAAACTAGACAGAGGTGCCCACAAGAAGCCACTTCAGGCGAATAAAGAAACAGGAAATTTAATGGCAGCTGAATTTATCCCCCCCCCCCTTTCCCAAAAAAAAAAAATGACAACATTACTATAAAAGTATGCTAATTAGCAGGACACAAGATGATGGTAATATTTAAAATGACCCGCTTTACGTCTCCAGACACATGCCTATCATCATCATCAGTTTCAATTTTTGCAGTTAAGCGTCATGGGGAGGAACAGTTGTGATCCACTGCTTGACAGGTAGATGGCTATTGTCATTCCGGTTCGACGTAGAAGCTCTTTAATGTCATCAACCAGTCCTGTCCTAGAGTGACCTCATTCTTGATTTGACCTTACATATTTTTATGTGCAGCGCCTGTAAACTAACGAGATGACCAAATCATTTGATATTTTGTTTCTCGATGAATTTTCTGCATGGTGTTGTTCCCACAATCTTTCTGACAGCATCATTTCTCACTTTGAGGCGGAAAGTCACCCTGGCTTTTGCCGGGGGCCCCAAATATAGCCGGGGCATAAATATGGCCTAACGGCTGAACGGGGTTTCCGTAACCTCTCAGTGGGTGATTCTCATCCGCAGGGTGGCACTTTGTATCGCCGGGTGTTTATCGCTTGTGTGATGTCCTGGTGGGGTACAACTTACTTACTTAGTTACTAAGTTGGCTGCTTACATCGGGTATCTCACTTCACAGGTGTTAATTTGATGTATGTTAGCCTTTGATAATGTCCAAGTCTGGCACTGGTAGCACAGTGGTGAAATGAATATGCAGTGTTTGTTGTGGATTATACATAGGGGTGAATGTCTTCAAAACGACGTCATTTGCTATATGAATGCAATGATTTGTTAGGATCTTGTTTCCATTTCCCGATCTGTTGTCTCGTCCTCCAAGAAGGTACTTCCTAGTTATTTAAACTCGTTAATTTGCTTAATTTTCTTGGGTAAAGAAAAGAACAAATGCATCCATACTTCAAGAGCTGAATATTGAAGAGGGTTGGCTAGTAAAGACAATAAAACAAAGAAAATTGAAATATTTTGGTCACTTGAAACGTCATGGAAGTCTAGAGAGAACAATAATGGAGGGGTATATGCCTGGGAAGAGAGGAAGAGGAAGGCCAAGGAGAAGATGGGTGCAGGATGTGGCAGATGATCTCCAGATGGGTGTATCGGACGCAGGACATCTTGCTCAGGATAGGAAGGTTTTCCGGAGGGTTGTTATGGCAGCGAGGTTCCGCGAGGGACATGCTACTGAATGAATGAATGAATTTGCTACAGACAAGTACCATTCTGCCTTATATATCAGGTTTATGAATTATTACAGCGTCAAATGATGATGTACCATAGGCGTAAAAGTGTATTTACCTCTACTTTTTAAAAATGAATTATTACATGCTAAAATTCTCTTTAGCATTTCTAGTCCTTGAGATTCATTGCTGCAGATATCACCCGCCTCCGTTCACATCTCTTGTTGTCCTTCTCTTTCCAGCTGGTGACACCAGTTTGCAGGTCTGTCTTGACGTTATCTCTCTATCTTCTTCTAGGTCTGGCTCGTGGGCTACGACCATTCAACTCCCTTCTGTATACAGTTTTTACCTCTCTGCCTTCTGACATTCTCTCAAAATGCCCCCTCCCATTTCAGTCTATTAGCCCTGATGATGCCAGGGATCAATGGTAAAATAAACAGATTTTGAATTTCGATGTTGCTTCTGACTCTCCGTTCCCCGCTGTTTGCATCTCTGATCAGTCTAGTGGCCCGTGTTAATAAAGCTTCAGTAATGTGGACAAATGTTTGAGGGAACATATTATATAGAAATTTCTTTTCTAGCTTTGACGATCTAGGAGTATATATATTATGCTCTTCGTAATTCTGTTGTGACGGGTTCGATCCTAACAGCCGACGATTTGGCAGTAAACTGTGATGTGTTGTATTTGCTGCTGATTGCACCCACGAGTTCTCAGTTTTACCCTAACCCTTAAAAACGCTAACGCCCAAAACCAAGTTCTTAACAGTGGTATCGAAAACCGACCGTTTACTAACCAGTGGCAAATTGCTGAAGTAAAATTGCCTAGTGAAATTACCAATAACTAAAAAAAATACAGAGGATGGTTCTGCAACGTCCTGTACAGAACTCGCAACAGCGTGTAAATCCTGAGTCTTGAACACATGAACAAGAGAGAGTCAGGCAAGAACACTAGTCTCTGCGCTGTTACTACTCACTAAATATGCATTTTATAGGACAACATCTCAAAATTACATTAAAAAAAAAATAACACCGAAGAGAAATAAAAAGAAACAAAAGAAAATGATTAAAAAAAAAAAAAAAAAAAACGACACTCGACGAACACAAATGTATAAAGAGAAACAAAAATGATCGCTTGAAACGAGACTTTGCTTTTGCTGATAAACGGCTTCAGTTTTTTTTTTTTTTTTTTTAGAATTAAAGAAAAAAAAAGTAATTACTTATTTGTCCTTTGAAGACCAAATAGAACATTTTTCTAAGCGTTGTGTGCGGAAAGAAATGCGTGCAGGCAGTAGCTTCACCCAGATTATTTGTTTCTAATTCGCTCCAGTCTTTAGTTAGGTAATCTCAATAACACGCTGCACAATGTTAGCTGAATTTTGACGAAAAATAGTGCTACGTAGTTTACCCTTTTTTTTTTTCTTCAAGAATTTGAACATGTTACAATCTGTTATCAATTATATGAAAAAATCTGAGAGCATTAAGACTTAACAAGATTAGAACATTTTGTAAAAAAAAAATTTTCTATCAACAGCAAAGTCTCAGTTTCGTTGGACATTTTTGTTATTTCCATATTCTAATTCTCGATGTTTTGGCTTTCAGTTCGAGAAGAGCACTGGAACTGCCAAAGGAAATATAGTAAATACAATCAGTAAAAAGATAGCATTTCCGCGTATGTCATCTCTATCGGTACTACAGCGGGTATTCTAATTCATTTGCCCATTTCTTTCAGTAATTTAGCTTATTTTTATGGGATGTTATCACAATCTAGTTCATAGCAAAGTCTCGAGTCTTCAAGTTATCATTTTTCAATCTCACGACAAGACTGTCGTTGCACGATGAATGATTTCTACTCACTTCTGGAGTTGTTGGACAAGGAAGCCACGTGTTTCCGCCAATCTATGAAATCTGCTTCTTTAACACTGTAGTACGGAGGTGGTTCTTTAGTAAACATAAGGTAGATTGGGCGCAGAATTTGCAGGCATTCCCTCTTCTCCCCACCAAGATGGTTAACATCTTCATAAAACAGCATGCCGATACGCGTCCAGTTGAAGTGGTCTAGGACCGACTCAAACATATCTCGAACTTTGTGGAAGCTTCCTTGGACTCGCGTTAAAAGCGGGAACTCTTTCTTATCAGTGAACCCCTGGAATAACGCCCCTGCTGTAACGACTGGGATACGCCACCTTCCACTATAACGAGCTATGGGTGCTGCAGCATAATCGCAGGCTGGACCGAAGAAAATATGCGCCCTTTTGGTCCGGTACAAGTCAATAGCTGCAAGAGGTCCATTAGAGCTGGAGCAGTTAGAATCTCTCTCAGTAAAGATGAATTTGACTCCGGGTAGAACTGACTGTGGATCGTTCTGAATCTTCTCCGCTGCGTGCACTATTGCTGGCATCACCATCTCTCTGGCAAATGGCAGCTTCGGTAAGTTCTGTTTTCCCAGAGTGTGTGTTAATATCACCCCAATCTTGACCTCCCTTACGTGTGACCCCCGGTCTGAATTCATTGGAAATGTGTACGGTGCAGATTCCACGGTAGTCAGTGAAACGAATATCCACAGTAGAAAAAGACACATTGTCTGTGATTGACTTCTTGAAGTGATTCTACTTCTACGTAATGATGATGTAATTATTATTTGTGAGTGTGTTTTATTTTCGTGTTGTCTGTCTGAATATATGCATTTCTTCTGAGTATAAGGTAGCAACATTCTTTCTACATAATTTCATTGTCAAAGACAGCAAACTTAGATACTTCATATCTCCTGTCATAAACACCATATTGATTAGATCTGCAAACTTTACTTTTGACAAATAACAAATACTAGCATATGATACACAAGATCCTGTTTAAAAATGGAGGTAAAGGCAGTCAAAGTCAGGAAAAGGCAAGACGGACATACAAGCAAACTGCCACTGTACCATCGGAACTGCAACTGTGTGCTGGCTGCTGAAGATGAGGACGAATAGATTATGAGAATATTCCGAGTGTTATGATATCGGTTCTTACCTACACTCAACGTTGCTTAACGCTTTACTAGGTTCATACATTTGAGTTAAAGTATACAAATAAGTAAATGATCTTTTCTAACTACAATAGTGCCATGTTCAAACGGTCCTGGATATATAGTTTAACGGTATTTGATGGCGGATCTGATTTACGCTACGCTGATCGCCTTTAGTTTCCATGACAACTCCTGGCCCAAGTTTCAGCTTTGTTAGACCGAAGTCTGTTATATAAAACCCTAATCAATAAGGGTTCGAACACAAAACCTTTAAACCCAGTAGTCAAACATTCTGCTATTACACTACCTTGGGCTCTCGCGAATTAATGTACTTCTTCTTATTTTGTGTTCGCCATTAAAATGGCGACTATCGTGTTGTCTTGCGACTTACAGCAAGGCTGCGATATGTTCCCAGCAAATCAGACTTCAGCAAAAAAAAAAAAAAAAAAACTTCTGATTAGACGCCTTTTGATGACATGTTCGTTGAAAAGCAGCGTCCTGTTCCCCCCTCTACCCCCTTCACCCTCACCCCACCCCAATCCCAACACAGCTTCAGGACGCGCACAATAAGCGTATTTTTTTTTTTAAAGTGGCATATTTAGATTTAACCAAATGCAATCTCCTGGGACAGAAGGTATTTCTGAAAATTATATTCACCATTCTACTAAAGTAAAGTACAACACACACTAATTAACTTTACGATTGTCTTGATTTTGGTAAAAAAAAAAGAAAAAAAAAGACGGTATTTGTAAGGACGAAGGGTAAGGGGTCAGCTCTTCCGGGATTGCAAACTGCAGGATCAACACCTCAAGGAAGAGAATCAAACCGATTCAAGCGATATTCAACATAGCAAATTATCATTGAAAGACGTCGGCTGAAAACGGTGAAAAGTATGTCTCTGAGAATAAGAGTCCTCGCCCAGCCACGTGCATCAGATTGTCTAAATTAGCTCAGCAGCAGCAGCAGCAGCAGCAGCAGCAGCAGCAGCAGCAGCAGATGTCACATTACCTGAAATCTGCAATTTTATGATATCGGATTTGTCAAATAAAGTGCCGTTTACATTTGTTTCTGTGTTCAGTTAACTGTCAGGTGGGTCGCGAAATAATTGTTCCCGTTTTGATGGGACGCGGCCCGCTAGCGTAAAAATTCTTCCTTGTGGTCCGGGTTCAAAGGGGCAGGCAAAATTTTCTAGATTGTATTTACAATGGAATCAAGGCCCGCTTACCGAGCCTGATGAGATACTAAAACAAACAACAATGGGCCGCGAAATAATTTTTCCCGTTTTGAGGGGCATCAAAATAATTGTTTCCGTTTTGATGAGTCACGAATAAATCCTTCCCGTTTTGGTGGCCGCGAAAAATTTTTTTTCCGTTTCGGTGGGCCACAAAATAATTGTTGCCGCTTTTGTGGGCCACCAAATAATTGTTCCCGTCTTGGTGGGCCACGAAATCATTGTTTCCGTTTTGGTGGGTTACGAAATAATTCTTCCCATTTCGGTGGACCGCGAAATAATTGGTCCTGTTTTGATTAGCCATAAAATAATTGTTCCTGTTTTGATGGGGTGTGAAATAATTGTTCCGGTTTTATGAGTTGCGAAATAATTGTTCCCGTTTTATTGGGCCGCGAAATAAATGTTCCTGTTTTTGGTGGGGTGCGATATAATTGTTCCCATTTGGGGGCGCCGCAGGTGTAAGATGGTAAAGAAACACTGATACAGAGCACTAAATGATCACTAGGCCAAACCATTAGTTAGTTATTTCATCTTTGTCTTTGTTGTCGCTGGCTAAGAGCTCCAGAGCAAAGTTCTCCTTGTCCTCCACTTATGGACTATTGTCTTGTTTCAGGACTTGAGCGTTGCGTGTACATTAGTTTTACAGATCTGGCTTGTTTGCATGTAGACTGTTGGTTCCTGGAAATGGTATGATTTGTAATCACAAACTTACTTATTCGCATGGTTGGGAGGGGAGAGAGGGGTTATCTTAATACTTATAAAATATTAGGGCTAAGCCTTCTTCTTCACCTTCAAAATCTGCTTGTGCCCTAAATGTCTATCGTGATCGGGGCCAGGGCGCGCTCAGTCGCTTCATATGCCGGGATGAAGTCTCAAGTTGTCCGTGACTCCTTCAATCCATCTTCTTCTTGGTCTTCCCCTGCCTCTTGTTGTTGTTTCACCTTCAAGCCCCTAAATTTTCGTGTGGGGCGGGGAAGGGGGGCAACTTGGTGTCTAAGCCCACAGGAGCAGGCGCCCTTAGGTGCACTGCATGAGACAGAATGAGTTAACAGCTCCCCCACAAGGCACTGTTAATTCACCGATGTCAGCTACCTCCAGATGTTCGTTATCACGAATGTCAACAGACAACACCCTTATGTTTGTCACTAAAGATCTTGACATCTCTGATCGCATGAGCACCCCCAACCGACTGCCATGTTCACCTGCGTCTGTAAGACATCTCTAGCAAACGCACGACCGCTTTTCGCTCGCATACTTAAAAAAAAAAAAAAAAAAAAAACGAAAGTTCCCAATGGGATATAAAATCATTAATCCGGTTTTATTAATTCCTCTTTATCTTAGAAAACGACGGGACAACAGTCAGTTCCCTGTTATATGACTGCAATCAATCAAGACTTGATTTTTGATTGCCTTGTCCTTATTTTTTTTTTTTTTTCATTATCCCTTAGCACACTTTCCCCATAAAAATGTCATATTCCCAATGTTCAGCAGATGTCCGGATGTCATATTTTGCCGTGTATTTCATGTTCACCTATTTAAAACCAAGTTATCAATTGCCTCTCTAAGTCCTGTAAGGTTTTTCTACTTTTTAAAATTGTAACTGTATGCAAGGCAAACCGCTGATAGCGAAAAATATTGCCAGGAACTTGACTATGGAATGGCCAGATTTCTTTAAAATGTCAGGACACATGTATGGCAAGAAGAAAACGCTTGACACAGTGTTGAATGTTGAATTAGGAATCGGCCTCACAGCACTCAGGGCACTCCTACAAGCGCTTACTTCCCATCTTCAGCAGCACACACAAAGTTTTAATTCTGATGGTATCAGTAGCTGTCTGATTGTACATCCGCCTCGCCCTTCCCTTGACTGTTGAGCGTCGGCCAGATCCCCTGGTAACTCCTAGCTGCGCCATTCTCCTCAGACCGTAATGATCTATGTGTGCCTCCGTGCTGTTCACTCGCCCCCCGAAGGGCGCTTACAACATCTAGCTTGTCATACATCAAATCACTACTAACTGGGGCTGAACCGACCAGTATCACCTGGAGAAAATATCCAAGGACGCTAACTACCTGGGACCTCTGAAGCGATGCATGCCACTCTGCGCGGAGCACGACTATACTGAACCTTCCTCAACATACTTCTTGAGTCAGTTACAATTATGGCATGTGTTTACAGCTGATTGTCAATCCAGAGTAAGGACTCATACTTTTGAGGCACAAAGAAGTTTCTATTACCTTGAGAAAAGTTATATATATATATATATAATATATATAAAAAAAAAACAAAAACGACAAAATAAGCTGAATCAAAACCTAGGGATTAGGAATATACAGAATGGCGAAGGGAAAAAAAAAGGGAAAAAACATGTCATGTAAACGTACATATACTTTAAAAGTCTTAGAAAGCCGCCCTAGCAATTATTGACTGCTAGTCTTTTTCCTAGAACTTTTACGTTGAGTAGTTTCTGGTTACATTCTAAGCAGTTCGGCGCTCATACCTTTGTTGAAACCAATGCTAATCCGTCTGTTGTCAATTCTTGATTGGCTACTCTTCGTTGGAAACTAAAGAGGAAGACTCAGCACGTGTGTGAATGTCCCTAGTGCAGTGATATCAAAATCTTGTTTCACTTTTCTGCTTCCAAATCTCTGTCTTTGAACCCCAGTCATGTCAAAATTGCGAGGATGCATTCACAACCCCTAATCACCAAGTTACTTGATGCTGCAAAAGGTAATATATTCATTTTCTAACCTGCTTTATGCAGACCCTTTCATTACTGCGCAATCTTTCGCAGCTCTCTCCTCTCTGTATTCTTAAAATCCTGCAGCAACTCTTGGGGTCCATGTTTTGCTAAGCGTTCTAGTCGAGAAACTCTATGACCATATTTCCATGTTTGCCCCACAGCCCGAGTCCCACCCATCAATATTTTCTCGCCTTAATTTCCATTTGTATCGGGTTTTGTTCAGGGTATTGCATAATTCTACATTTGGTATCCAATCCTGACGCTGCCATAAGGAAATTATGATCGAGCCCAAGTTGAGATTTGTGTGCGGGGTTTTTGTAATTTCCAGACATTCCGTGATTTCTGAACAATACGACATGACGAGTCAGACATTTGCCCTAAACAGTTCTTATCTTTTATTTCTATAAATAAACAGAGGGAAA